TTATAAATGGAAATAGAGGCCGGGAAAACCTCAGCAAACAACCCGGAGGAAAAACTGGGGCCATTACCCAGCTTAGGCTTGTGCTGGAAAGTTAACCGGGTCCAGCGCCCCTGATACTTCCCAACTGACAGACAACTCTTCCAAATTAAAACTTGAAGCACAGAATCATTATTTGAACACTTGATCACTCCACCCAGTAACCCTATACCAACTTATCACAATGGCATCCAAAACCCGTCTAACTTGTCCCTTGGATCTCAAGATGCATCCTCACTCTCCCTACAGAAATCCGAACACAGTTCCACAACAGCATTCTAGGCTCTGTCTAAAACGACCGAAGGCAAAGCTGCGACCGGGCGGCAACGGCCATGATACCACTATTCCATCTAAAACGTAACCTGTCCTCTAGACTGAGGAAGTAGCCATGGGCTAATAATCAGATTCCCTTCCTGGGAAACAGAAGGCAACTAACCGTTTAACACCCATGTACGCAAAAACCACAGTGGACCTCTCTTCTGCCAATCAGCCAGGATAATCAGTCGAATCTGGGACCTGATTGCCCCTTTCGATTCCTCTGAGTGAGTGGATTTGTCTCTGAACAGTTTTTGGTTCCGAGCTTGCCAAAGAATCTGCATAATGGCCCCTCTGCAGATCTGCGCCACGTACCCCCAACCTGGACCAATGCTTCCTCCACCTCTGAGTGAGTCATATCTCATTGCCCTGTTGGTTCCGAGCTTGCCAAAGAATCTGCATAATGGCCCGAACGAATCCACGAATCTGACCATGGGATGATTGGGATCCCAGCTCCTCCCCACCTGGACCAATGCTTCCTCCACCACTGCCAGATCACTAGGGAGAAGGGGCAGTCAATCCAGAGGTGGGAGGTAGTCTCCCAGGCCCACTCACAGCGCGGGCAGACGGGGGATATTGATATTGTCATACCTTTTGACAATAGCCAGGACGCTGAAGGGACTGTCAGTGACTGCATAGACTGCAACCACAAGAGGCTCGCTGCTTTCTGATCAGGTAATTTCTTCACCTGGCACCTGCCTCAAAAAATTCAAAAGTTTGTCTTCAGTAATGGGGTCTGTAGGGAAGTCCTCCCACCTCTCGATGGCCAGGACTAGGGGCGGTTCTGGACACTTTCTTCAGTTGCAGGGCTCTGAGACTGAGTCTCCCTGTTTTTGTATTATACTGGGATATTGGAACAAAGGGCCTCGCTCCACCACTCTCGAAATGTGCAAAACGAGAGTGAATCTTCCGCTAGAACAAGAAAAGATACATGGCCATGATTTTTGTCTTTTGTGCATTTCCGGAGTAGTGGAGCTACGCCCAAAATCCCCAACTTTCTCCACGTCCGACCAGCCATACGAATATGGTTCTACTTTAAAACAGGAGGCTGGGTATCCTCCAGTACAAGAGGCTTTCCCTTTAGGGCCCACAAAGATCAAAACCCGGGCTTCCATGAGATCTTCCTTCAGAGAAACGAGCTCATCGGATTCCTCTTTCCATTCCAACAGGTCTTCAATCTTGCTGTTGGCCCGTCGGGCCCAGACTTGAACTTTGGTTCCAGGACCTGCGGAAGTAGGGGGACCCTTTTTTTTTTTTTTTTTTTGGGTAAACATGGCACAGTAAAATGTTGTTGAACGTAGTTCGGGACGTGGATGCTACTATTAAGCAAAGGAAGGGCATAGGTGAAATTGAAAGAGGAATATTGCGTAATAAAAAAGAAAAGGGAAAATTGAAAATTCAAACTTGCATCTGTAGCCCATTTAAAGATGGGAATACCTGCTGTACCCAGTCCAGCACCCGATTTGCATCTATACCCGGCCCCTGTCCAACTTAAGGTAATACCCTACATTTCCCATGCGCCAACTTAATATAAGTGTACCCAGTCCCACAGGTGCTTGGTTGGGGACCACAAAATGGTGCTTATGCCCCCGAACCGGGCAGGCAAAATTGGGTATGCACATAATTTGCCCGGACATGAGCATAATTTGAGCATTCAGGTAGTTGGGTAAAACTGCAATTTGGCAGTACCAGCCTTGGCCCACCTCCGTCCTGGGCATGCAAATAATTTGCACAGACCGTTTCCCAGGTACCCATGCAAGTTGGGCACCCGGACTGGGTATCGCCATCATCCGCCGCCCCTCACCAAAACTTCGACCCGAATCCGGCGCACAGCGTCAAGGACCTCCCCCCTGCGGCCAATGCTCCAGTTGATGTAGCTCAGTGGTTAGAGCACCGGTTGGAAATGCGCATTGTGGTATGAGGTTGTGGGTTCAAAACTCCACAGCCTCGCGCATGGACACCGGCAGGGCGTTCGATTGACGCACGGCTGGACACACATTCCCCTGGGCTGACGCATGGTACTATTACAGACACTGCCTGCGTACCACCCAGGGGATAAGTCCATGGGTATTGTATGCTGGCCTAGGCCTCACGTTGGTCACTGGTTGTTGTTGGCTTTGGTCGCTCTGATGATCTCCCCAGTCCAGATATCACACACACTAGATTCACTTCCTACGATAGTACAAGTGGTAGAACCCTCCAGTTTTACACTGTAGGTCATAGGTTCGAGTCCGGTTCGGACTTTGGGGGAGACCTGTCTCTACCACATATTCACACACACACCCCAGATAGCACAATAACGATACCTACTCTATCACATATCATATACACATACCATACACACATATATATAGCTACTCCATATTCGCTAGGGGTGATTCTCTGGATGGCCTTGGGTGGGGATGTGTGGCTCTCTTACAGGGAAGCTGTTGAGGATGAGTGCTGCTCTCTTGGGTCGGGGGGTGGCATGGGGGTTGGGGGTGCATGGTGATACCGTGGCAGTCCAATGGTTGGGAAGGGGTGCCTTGTAGGGAAACCAATGCCGAATTAAGGGGTGTATCCTACTTTCGTTGGCTGTGGACCCATTCAGGTTAGGAGTGAGTTGGCAGCGGTTGGTCGAGGGTAGTTGATGATGGACGAGGTCTCCTCCAATACCACTGGTCAATTCTCCCTGGTGAATAACAAGGTACACACACACAGTTAGGTACTAGTGGAGGTGGTAGGAGCACCTCTCACCAGTACGCAGTACTCAATTCGTAGAGGCTCCATGGTGGGGAGCAACATATAACCATACATATATAGCCCACGGGCACACATCCATGATACACAAACACAAGGCTCCATGGTGGGGAGCAACATATAACCATACATATATAGCCCACGGGCACACATCCATGATACACAAACACACACGCATCACAAACGGCTGGGTGGAGGTCACGCAGGGGCCAATAGGTGATTGTTAGAGCCTGGCGTCCGAAGTATCCGTACGGCAAGGCTCGTTCGACTATATGCTTCAACCAGGGCTAGGTCGCTAGCCCTGGTGCCTGTCGCTGCTGTTCGGTCCAAGTCCCCCTCGATACTGGTAGGGTGACGGTCCTGAGTGCTGGTCACACTAAGGTAGGATAGTAAGGATAGGGGATACGCTAGGAGTATTGACGTGAGGTTGGGATGGGTGGTGGCCTCGCCTTCCCAGAGTGACCAGGGTAGACTACTTCCGGCAATCAACGTGTGCCTAGTAACCGGCCTCTACAACACCCTGGACTTAAAAAAAAA